CTGAATGACATTAGCAAACATTAGTCATAATCCAAAATACTTGTCAAATACCTCCTGTGCATGGACACTGCGATCCAACAGTGGACAAGATCGCTGAGAGCTTATTGTGTAGGGGAAGACAGAGATAACTTCAGACTCGAGAACTGTGATGAAGTCTATGAAGAGGAAGAAGAGGGAGACGTGAGGAATTGAGAGCATAATATCGGAGTTTTTAGTAACAATTCATCTCAAGAAAAGTGAGAGAGAGAGAAAGAAAGCATAATACAATCATTGGGTTTAACTTTCCTGGGGAGTCAAGAAAGAGCGCTTATGAGAGAATGGTATGTAAGTGTATAGCGTTTTAAGCCTTGCATAAAGGCTGGTTGGATAAATAAATCAAATGAAAACCAAACTCACTGCCCTTGAGTTGAGACTGACTCATGGAGCCTTAAAGAATGGGCTAGAACTGCCCCCGTGGATTTCTACTCCTTCCAGGAGTAAAAAGTCCTGTCTTTTTTCTGTGGAGCACCTAGTGATTTTGAACCCCTGACCTTGCAGTTAGCAGCCCAACACACAACCACTATGTCACCAGGACTCCTTCATTATATAAGTAAGCACCACCTAAATCAGAGGTGACACTGATAGCAAGGTGGGTTCTCAGGGCAGAAGGTAAAGTCTCCCACATAGTGCCTCAGGGCTAATCTGCCCCATGAGCATAACCTTCTCCCAAACGTCATCGGGTTACAAATGCCTTGTCTTGCACCAGCCCCTCTCAGTGTTCTGAATTTTCTCATGATGTGTCTGCATTTGGCAAAGCAGAAGAGGATTTGGATGAACAGATTCCTCATCATTTTGTGAGTAAGACCAGTTAGTCCTGAGCATTTCAACTTCAATGCTCTGTGTATCGTGATGCTGTGTCGGTCCAGTTGGGAGGATTGTTATCTTTACATCAAGGTACGATTCGTACTGAAGGTTGTGCTATTTGATCTTCATCAGCACGGGTTTGAAGTCCTCTTCAAGCATATAAAACCAACACCCATATTGAAGCAGCAGCCAATAATCCAAC